AGATCAGGTTCTGGAGAGGACCTGCTTAGGTCCTGGCTTGCAGACAGTCACCTTTTCTCTCCCATTGTGTTCTCCTGTGAGACAATGAGACTGACCTCTGGTGGCCCTTCTTCTTAGGCCACTAATTCTATCATGAGGGCCCCACCTTCATGACCTCAGCAAGCCCTAATTATCTCCCAAAGGCCCCATCTCCAAATACCATCGCAGAGGGGGTTAGGGCTTCAATATAGGAATTTGGCAGGTGTGGTGGGGGTATAACTCAGTGTGTAGCAGGGACTGTATAGGTGAAAGGTTTGATCAAGGGACAAATCAGGAGTGAAGGTTCTGTCTGTGTATCCTGGGAGCTACTGTCTCTTAGGAACACCTGGTGCAGTGTCACCCATGAATACGGTCCTTGCTGGTCACTCCAGGTGGCCTTCGAGTTGATAGCAGTATGTGCAAGGGCCACGCCTGTGTATCTCACTTGGAGAAATTTAAGACAGAGCCTGGTCCCTGCTCAGATCTTGAGAAATTTCTTTGCAGGCAGCCTAGTGGCTTCTCTTGCCTGTGAATCTGGAAACTATAGAGGGAGTATGGTTGACATCTCTTATGGGAAATCCAAGACTTAAAATACAAAAGATAGATCCAAAGGTCTGTGGAAGAAACTGTGACATGGCCAGGGATACCTGCTTACAGGACGTGGGCTTGGGTTTGGAAGAATGTGGATGTGTTGGTGGGAGGGGGTGTCCCGTGTTAGGGCTGTGCTGTGAGCTGGTCCTGGCATATGTGAGTAAACATAGAATGATCTGGAAGGTGAACTTACGGGAGGGTGAGATGGAGACTGGGCTGGAAGATTCAATAAATATCCAGTGAGTTCTTTCCAAGAATCAGGGCCATGTTGGTATTTGAATTTGATCTCTATGGAACCAGGGGGTTTTGCACCTTCTCCCAGAAGAGGAGGAAATTTTACAAGTTAGGGTGGAAAGCTTTCTTACTGCTCCCACCTGCTAATCCACCTGGGAGTGTCTGACTACCCCCAATGCCATCTCTCATGGATAAGCAGAGACATATACTCAAATGGCTTAAAAGAAATGTTTGGTTAATTCCTCTCACCCCCAGAGGGGGTTTATGGTATATATCTTCCCCAAAAATCAGGTATTTATTTTATTATCTCATTTGTGATCACAGGCTGATTTGTGGGTTTGAATTACTGTTTGTTTCCTGTGTCTCAATTCAATATAATAAGTGCTTTTCTTTTGCCTTTTTTTTTTTCCCAAAGGCAGCAAGTTATTTTGCAGGGCTTGCTCTCTTGGCTGATGTTTCTTAGCAGAGGGTTGGGGCTGAGGTGTTGATGAACTGGCTGAAGGACGAGGAAGTAAACTGTGGTTTGTTTAGAATGCTTTCCTGCCTGTGGTTGCTACTTTAGAAGCCGTGTGGTTGCTTGATAGGAGAGGTGCAGCTTAGTTGCATGTAATCAGAAGAAATTCTGCTGAATTGGAGAATAGAAATGGACTGTTCAGGCCCAAGTTCACACAGTCGGTTAGTCCTTCCTTGTCGGGTAGCTTAGTTTAGAGAAAGTTACCAATTGTTTCTCCCTAGATTGTAAGTTGATGTGCAATCATTGCAGAAAAGCAGACAATGGAGACGGTGGTAGCATGTTCTACACTGGCTAGGAGGAGACATCCGACTTGCATTGTAGAACCACAAAACTGGACATCCCTTAGACCAGTGCCTGATTCCCATTGGCTCTACCATGGAGATACACGCAGGGTTTCCCTTAAATTCCATCCCATTGAAACCTGCATGCCTGTGATCTCAGAAGTCTGGGAAGCTAGTTGTATAATTTGTCAAGGAGACAGATTCTTGGGTCTGTACTTTTGTCTGTAAGGCTATTTGTTGACCCCTTGTGTTTTTATGAAAATTATCACCATTGATTAAGCTCATCAGCGAACCACTTCTAATTTACATCCTAAACTATCATCTAGTCCATAGGACCAGTGGGATGACTCACCAGTTTATGCCTGGGGGGTAAAAATGCAAGGCCACTGTATAGATCTTAGGCTGGAACCTTGTATTAGGTTGGCGCAAAAGTAATTATGGTTTTTGAAGTACCCCTGTGTCTTTGGGAAGATTTGTAGATGACACTTAAGGACCATGTAGTAAGTCTAAATACTGCCTTTTCTCTTGATGTCCCATCTCCATATTACTGACAACTGACCAGCACATTCACACGGATCAAAGGATTCAGCTCCCATTTAAACATGTAGGGAAACAGAATAGTGTTTTTGGTTATTGGAGTGGCCTCTTTTAGACTGGTCTTTGTCTCTTTCTCATCCATCTTCTTTAGGGGACCATATTGTGGGCTTAATAAACACAAGCCAATGAGCCAGCTATAGCATCTCAGAGTCTCACTCTGTTGCCTAGGTTGGGGTGCAGCGATACCATCTTGGCTCACTGTAACCTCCGCCTCCCAGGTAGCAGAGGTTACAGGCACCTGCCATCACGCCCAGCTAATTTTTGTATTTTTAGTAGAGACGGGATTTCACATGTTGGCCAGGCTGGTCTCGAACTCCTGACCTCAAGTGATCCACCCACCTCGGCCTCCCAAAGTGCTGGGATTACAGGCGTGAGCCACCGTGCCTGGCCTATAGCATCTCATTTAATCCTCACAGTGACTTTGCCAAGGAAGTGTTCTCTTCCCCGTCTTGTGGCTGAGGAAACTGAGGCTCAGGTACTGTTGAAGCGCTTGTGTTCCAAGAGCTTCTGATGTGAGTCTACATTTTAGCAGAGGCCCCAGGGCAGCGAGAGGATCTTTCAAATTGGGGAAACCCTAGCCTAGGAGTAGTACCCATAGAGCTGGGGCCATATCTGGTCTCTACCCAATGCTAGGAGGCTGTTCCTGGACAAGTTGCCCCATCTTTCTCTGCCTTACTGACTTGACCTGAGAAATGGGACTCTCACCACCACCCCCGGAGATGTCTGTGAGGATGAAGGAAGGCAGAGCGAGCAGCCACCTGCGGAGGAGGGTGTTTGGCGGTGGTCTGGTCTCGGGTTGATTTCAGGCCTCAGTTGAATGAAGACAGGCCCTGCCTCTGTCTTCCACAAAGAAGCTGACAAAGAGTGAAACTCCATGACTAAACAGGAAGCTGTGCCTCCGAATGCTGCAGACAGAGCCATCATGTGATGCTTTCTATTTCTCTGAGAAGGTGACAGCACAGGGCTTGGCCTCTCGAGTCCCCTGAGATAGGGCCATTGTGTCCTCCACCCCCATATTAACACTGGGTACCATGCAGTTTGGTGGTCAAAGGTTTGGAGAGAGCACTCATGTTCTGCCTGGATGGTCTGAAAAGCCTGGTCCCTGGGGTTCCAACTAGGTTTGAACGACTTCTCTAAGGGTATGACTTCAGACCAGTGCATGACGCCTGAGATCCACTTAAGTGCTCCTTAAATGAGTAGATACGAATAAAGTGAAAATGTGTTGGTCATTACCAAACTTTAGAGCTGTCCACTGAGCAAAACAGGGAGTGGCGTGCTCTAACATAAGTTCCAACAGGATCACCCTGCTGTGTAGGGCCGGGGGTAAGCAGTGGAGGTTGTTGGTTTCTGGCTATCTGGGGGTCAATCCAGAGGCATGTATGGGATGTGTGCTGTGAACAAGGAGTCAGGGAACACGCTTAGGTTGGCCTGACAAACTGGAAGGAGAGAATGTGTTTCCCACCATGGGAACAGGTGAGACAGAGGAGGAGCAGGGGTGAGGATCTGGAGATTGGTTTTGATGACCTGTGGGCAGGTAGATATTGCAATCTGAAGTTTAGGAGTGATGGTCTGGGTTAAAACTATTAATGTGGCCATCGTCAGGGTAGAGGTGGTATTTTAAGGCCCTGAGTGAATTATCCGACAGTACCGTCTGCTCTTGGACTTGGAAGAAGTCAGTTTTGAGTGGAGACTGGGCAGTTTAGTGTGGGAGCTGCCTCAGGGCCACATCCACCTGGAAATGTTTGCTTTGGGAGATGGCCTGAGATGCATGGTCAGAAAAGGAGGAGAGATGAAGTGCTGCTTTTGCCCCAGGGCAGCAGTAGCCAACCCCAACTAGACAATTCCTGTTGGAGCCCAACATTTGGAGATCCAGGCCTCTAACTGCACAAGCGCTGAAAGGATCTCATTTATTGAGCGTTCTGTCGCCCTTGAAGATGAGATTTCAGGGAGCTTACGCCTCTACTTGAAAAAGCATCCTAGTTTACTTGACATTTCTAATAAGGCTGCATTACTCCCTGTAAGAAATTGGACTCAGAAAATATTTCTAAATCAGGCATTTGGAATGGACTTGGGTATTTCAGTTGGGCCATTGAAAGGGGATTGGGAAGGCAGGTGTTTTGAAAGCCACAGGCATTGTACAGACGTAGAGAGGGGTTTATTTACAATAGACTCCCCAGGTCTCATTCTCTTCAAGTGCCTTTGTCGGTCTGATAGGGCAGGAGCTTTTTTCCATTGTTGACAAAAAACAGGAAGAAAATGTGCAGTTTTAACAGGAAGAAAATGTGCAGTTTTATGAATTTCCCTGACCACTGAGGTGATACCACTAGTAAGAAGGAAACTAGGGCCCAGTGTAGTGTCTGTAGATGCCTGAAGGCAGATAACAGTCGAGTAGATCTTTAATGAAATCCTAATTTTCCTTTGACTGCAGCAGAAACTGGCTTTTTAATTTTCTCTTTGTAGTTGGCCATGATTTGAAACCCCACAGCAGCCCTTCTGTCCAGCTTGAACACACTCCCCTTGATCCCGCACCCCACATAATGTAATGCACTTTGCACAGAGTCCCTCATCTCCATGATTATTACCCTAGGGTTGGGTTACTTCTGGCACAACTGCGAAGATGTTGCAGAATTTTGGCTTGAACTACAGCCAAAGGGTTAAGTTCCCTCCTGGGCTTGGATGATATTGGCATGAGTTGGAAGCATAAGAGAGATCAAAGGTGATTTTTTTTTTTTCTTCTCAAAAATGATTTTGCAAATCTTTTTCAGAGCTGATAGACACACACCTTAGCTGGATACAAAACATATTATGAAACAGAATGACTGTGATCTTTGATCCGAGAAATCAAAGTTAAAGGTAATTGATATCTTCTGCTTCTCCTTTTGTTTTCCAGCTGTGTGTTTCCTTAACTTGAATTTTTTAAGTATAAGAAACCTTGACAAGCTGAAGGCCCTCTCTTCTCATTCTCCTGCTCTTAAGGGCTAGACCCCTCCACTTTGGAAGTGGACACTCCTGGGGACCTCCCTGAGAATCTCAGGGTTGGGCGGGAGAAGGGGGGATGAGGCCCCGGTCACTTGCATGCTCCCCGATTCCAGGGCTGGCCTGCATGGAAAAATGCAGCACCGTCTTTGGAGCCTGCTCCTTTTTGGTTTTGCACACTTGGTTGTGGGTGTCCAGTTAAATGAGGCTCTCCATCCGTGGCGGGCGTTCTGCCCTGGGGAACAGCAGAGTGGGCAGGGAGGTCAGAAAACCGACCTAGGAAGCCCCGCCCTGTGCTTAGGGCACTTCCAATCCTGATTCCCTCAGCTCAAGGTTTCAGCTCCTCCCGGGGGCTTCCTTGTTGTGGCTTTTGAAGTCGCATGATTTTGCTACTTGGTTTCTGGATTTGAAATCAGCCCCTTGAACTGCTTCCCAGGGTGCTCGGCTGAGCCCCTCACCCAACAGCTGCACCTCGCTGGGCCTCCACAGAGGAGCCTGGCAGCTAAGACGACCCTACCGTACCGTACCGTACGAGTTTCAGGAGGCCCTGGGGGTGTGAAGTCCAGATGAGACATTGAGGAAGGTTGCATTACCTCTCTGTGCCTCAGCTTCTTAGATGCTGTTGCTGTTATTTAATCTTCTCCATATTCTAATTGGAATAAACCAGTACACACAGTGCCCAGACCATCTTAGAGCTTATATTAGCACACCCAGGGGAGCTGACACTTCGGAAGCACGATTGCCAGAGGATGGGGCCTGCTGAGATGAACCCCTACTTCCCTGTGGCCGAAGGAAGCCCTGGGGGGAGGGGCACATTCTCCAACCATCTGCCACTCTCCGGCCTCAGGACTTCACGTCTGAGGAATCAGGATAAAAATGCAAGTAAAGTATCAGTGCTGAGGTTGTAAGCCCCTCAGGGAACTTGTCGAAGGGCGGTGCCTTTTTAATGTGTGTCTTGGGCTTGGGGACTTTGGCAAGCCAGCGGGCTCAGGCCTGTGACTGACTCTGTAGCTCTGACCAGTATGACCTGGGAGGGGATTTACTGCTGCTGCATCACTCTTCAGACCCCACCCACAGTTTCCGGCTACAGTCCTATTAAGGGTTTTATGTTCTTTTCACTGAGCCTCACTCAAGTACGGCCAGGTTTCTCTGGAGAAGATGAACACTGGGAAGTTACTTAGTAAGTGCAAAGCAGAGGTCTGGGAGAGCTCTGTCTCAAGTAACAGGCCTTTTCACAGTTTTGAGACATCAGAGGGGAAGAGCCGGGCACGGTGGCTCACGCCTGTAATCCCAGCACTTTGGGAGGCCAAGACAAGGTCAGGAGTTTGAGACCAGCCTGGCCAACATGGTGAAACCCCGTCTCTACTAAAACCCTGCATGGTGGCAGGTTCCTGTAACCTCAGCTACGCTACTTAGGAAGTTGAGGCAGGAGAATTGCTTGAACCTGGAGGCAGAGATTGCAGTGAGCTGAGATGGCACCACTGCACTCCAGCCTGGGTGACAGAGGGAGACTCAAAAAAGAAGTCACGGGAAGGCTCAAGACCAGCAGGCCTGGTTGCTTAGGGAACTTACCTCTTGGCCTTCAGAGTCGCTTCCCCTGAGGACAGTTAGGACCAAAGGCAGAAGAGCGCAGAGAGGAGTTCATGTGCTTTCAGCTTCACACATCCTGACCCAAGCATGTGGGGGTCATGGGAGTGAATTCAGCAAGGCAGAGAAAACAGTCAGTGGTGACTGGGGGTGGTGCCTCGGGCCCCCTCTTGGCTCTCAGATTCTTTGATTTGGCCTGGAGAATGCGGCCCTCTCGATTCCCATTCCAAGCCTGAGGAGTGTCTTTCTGGCCATGGCTTTGTGGCTGGGCCCAGGCACTCACGTGGTCTCACCAGATTTTAGAAAACATGCTTGAGGTTTGAGCGAGAAGCAGGACCCAACCTATCCGCTCCTTCCTGTTGCTGCTTTCTCAGGGGATTCAGTTCCAAAGTCAGCAGTCAAAGGGAAAGGGCCTAGAGTGAAATTCACCCTTGAAAGTCCTTTAAATTGCACCTGAAGTATTCATACATCTGCGTTGTTTTCCGCATGTAATCCTGAGCAGCCATCCTGCTGCAAACTGAAGTCTGGGAACCTCTGAGCTCTGGCAAAGGAAGGGAGGAGAAAGTAGATGCAGGTGCCTGGGCCTTTTAGCAAAACAGAAAACTCCTAGGGCAGAATGGGATCTAACAGAAGTCAGTTTTAGCTTTTAGAAATCCAGTAAGAGGCACTGGCTTCCCCAGATGGCCACCCTCAAAAAGCAGGCAAAGAGAACACCCTGCTTTTTCTTCTTTGCCATTAGCATATATATATACACTAGGAGCTGACAAACTACAGTGCTTGGGTCAATCCTGGCCCCCAGCCTGTTTTGGCAAATGAAGTTTTACTGGAACACATCTATGCCCATTTGCTTACTGTCTACGGCAGCTTTTATGCTACACTGGCAGTGCTTAGTAAGTGAGAAAGAGCCCACAAAGCTGAAAATATTATCTGGCTCTTTCCAGGAAAGTTTGTGGACCCCTGGTATATCATCTTTTTATGTCTGCAGCCATTTTTATTAGAATACCAATATCCTTCTTACTGAGTGGAAACACCTCTTTATAAATGACTTTGTCATATATACTGAAAATGTTACACTATGTTTTGTGCGTAATTTTTATATACTTAAGATCAGTTCACTTTTTCCTCTCCGGTTTCAGGCTTAGTAGTCACCCTGAGATCATTCTCCATCAGCCTTTTCAGCAGGACACCTCTCTGTAAGGATGATCAGAGGTCGAGAGCACCGTGGCAGACTCACAACTGCTGGCCTCAATTCTGTTCTGAGAAAGGGACGCTTTCTCCAGCAGAGCACTTGCCTTCATCACACGGCCTCTCTCTGCTGGCTAGGCAGAGTCTACTGTAGCCTTCCCCTGACTTCACGCAAATGACACAGAGGATTCTGGGATCCCCAAAAGAAAGAGGATCAATACTGTACAAGTTAATTAAATGGGCCCTGAGTTCAAATCCCAGTCCCCCGTCACCTGCTAGAGTGTTGATCTGCCTATCTCTATTTCCCTATCTATAAAATGGGGATAATGATATTACTAGGAGCAGTGTGAGAATTAAATAATAGTCCCTGGCACACAGCTCTCAGGAAATGTGAATGGCTGGTATTCTTTTGTAGAGAGAAAGACTCCAAACAAGTAACAGATCAACAACCCATTTGTCAATCGAATGAAAAAGGAAAATCAGCTTCCTTAAACTAAGGGACCTAGGCTGATGGTGCAGGGTCCTTGGGGTGGGCTAATGCAAGCATTAAGCACCTGCTGTCTGCATGGTGCCATGCATGAGTAGGGCTACTTGAAAATTCAGTACTTGCTTTTGAAGGGAGTGAGGACACTATGGCTGGAATGTGGGGCAGCTTCCAGCAAGGGGCAGCACTGGACAGGGGTAAGCACTGCACCTGGCCCCATTTGGGAACAGGTAGGAGGAGAGGTACAGTTGCTGGCCTAGGGTAGATTATTGGAGGTCTAAAGTGCTGATGGCAATGATACAGGAGAGTGGTTCAGCACCCAAACCTCAGCGGCCGACTTGGGGAGGCCAGTCCTGGCTGTGACCTGAAGTTTCCCAATCCCTTTCTAAGCTGCTGTGTTCTGTTCATAAATACATGTTGAGTACTTCCCATGCACCAAAGCATCATCTAAGGGATATGAGGGGAAGGAGAGCATCAACGCAGCAGGGGATAGTGAGGAGACGGGAGTGCGACTGGGCTGAGGGTGGCCACCAAGGGGGGCTTTGCCAAGGAGACTGAGCCTTGGGTGATGTGAGTGAGAAGGAAAAGCGTTAGACTGGGGAAAGCATGATGCTACCCAGAGGAGCAGCGTGAGGAAGGTGACACAACAGGAGAGAACAGGGCTGAGTCGGGGACAGACAGAGACCAGGAGAAATGGCAAGGTGAAAGGGCACTGGGGTTCCCCTGCACCCTGGTACTCGAGTCTACAAATGTGGGGCCTCCCTGTGGACTCTGCATGAAGTGGTTGAGACGAGACCCTCTCTCAGAACTTAAAGCCCAATGTAGCTCTACTGTGTCACCACCACCTAGCAGGCATTTCTGTTCTAGAACTTTCTCCTTGTTGGTAGTCAGGGGAGCAGGCGCCGAAATTTCAGAAAGAGGAGGTTCCTACCCAGAGAGGTTTGGGCAGGAGTTGAACTCAGGGCCCCCTCACCACCCCCAATAGCAAGAAGGTCTAAGTGCATAGGGTTACTGGATATTCCAGATGCAACTCTTCACTTCTACCTGAAAGTAGCTCCCAGAAAGCAGGACCATTTCCATCCAAGGGGAGGGAAACACGCTTCTGTCTGCTTGAAAGTTTCCCTACTTGCCGTCCCCTGCCCTAGCCCTGTGTTCTGAGAAGGGAAACAGCCCTTCCAGAGGGCTTTGGTGCCAGTGTCTCTGCCTACCAGCTATTTTTAGAAAGCTGAGGCTGTGGAAAGTTTTCATTAAGGATCCACTCCTCTCACTTCCTAGGTTGAGAAAACAGGAAGCCCTTTGGAATCCGGGCTTTGAAAAGCTTCACATGAAGCTGCCCCGACCCCACCTGCCCCGGGCATTCAGCTTTCGCTACATGAGAGTCCTGTACAGCATGGTCAGCTCGTCACCCCTGCAGGAAGCACTGAGGGTCCGGGCTGACAGTCCTTATGCAGCTTCTGGTTTAGGGCCCCTGGGAGTCAGCTGTTACCAGGTACACAGTAGATGCCCAACTAGTGCTGGTTAGCTAAATATATGAATTCGTCCTCTACATTCCTATTAGTGAATCCATTTCCACATGTTGGAAAAGTTATACATAATGTATGTATTTCGAATACATATCTAATACGTATATACTGGTCTACAAACCAACACTGGCTGTACACTGGGCACTGTGATCTTTACTTGCATTATCTCATCCAAGCACCTCAGCAACCTGGGAGGTAATATTTTTAGGTGCAATTTACAGATGAGGAAACTGAGGCACAGAGTGGTTATGTCACCAAGGCAAGGTTCACCAAGCAAGGAAGTGGCAGAGGTGGAATTCTAACCCTGGCTGGCTCTAGAACCTGACCTCTCATGCCCATGCTTGTGGCATGCCTGACGTTCTGGCACAAAACAAAGCCGATGGTTGCAAAGCACAGAATTCAGAGTCTACCATGAAGCGTAGGGATTTTACTGACCATCCCAGCCACTAGCCACTGAACACCAGGCACTGTGCTGGGCGCTATCACATATGTGAATGGTTAGCATCCTCACAACAGCCTGAAAAGATATGTGCTATGATTCCCACTTTACAGTTGAGCAAATTGAGGCACGGAGAGGTAACGTCATACAGCCAGAGAAGGAGCTGAGAATCAAACCCGGTTCATTCAGCTCTTTGCATTCCCCCGCCTCTCACTGTTATGGAGGTTGCAGACCATCTGGGCAGGGGTTTTCCAGGGAAAAGCACCCTGAACCTAGGAGGGCCCAGCTTTGACCATGAAGAGACTTTGGGCAACTCTGAACATTTAACCCTCAGTGACAATGTAACTTAAGCCTAAGGTGAGAAAAGGAAGTAGGAGGAGGTGTGGGAAGAATTCAGTGTCAGAACCAGGAAATGGAAAATGAACCTGCCTTTGATGGGACTCCCAAAGGGGTTTACATCCTCATCCCTTCCACCCCACAACTAGTCAATATGGTCTGCCTGCAAAACTGAAGGTGTAGGCATACCTCAGGGAGCATGCCTCACGGAGGAGCTGTCACCAATAGCACCTTCTTCTTTCCAAGAATGTTTCAGGGAACCTATTTGCAGGATCCACTATCCTAAGATCTCACTCAGTAGCCAAGGCGGGAGAAGGTAGCTTGCTTCTTGATGCCAGTGACTGGTACTGCTCTTGGTTCCCTGCTAGGAACTCCACACATACTTCTGGGGAGGGGGGTGACCAAATTTTCCAGAACTGGCACATGATCCTTCACTTGGTTGTGCTGAAATGGAAACTATGTTTCTGTTGATGGCCAGTCAGTCTCTGGGGGGCCCTCACTTGCTCTTTGTAAGGGTTCCTCTTTTGAGAACTGTAAGTTTTATGGATCAAGAAAGAACCATGTTTTATCAGACTTAATAGGCATTTTCTGGATGTGGAAATAGTGGAAGTAGTTTGGTCCACAATAGAAAGCCTCAAGCACATGACATCAAATGCAGAAGAGGAGAAAGTTACTTCAAACATGCCCTATGGCTCAAATCCATTTCTGCCACAAAGATTTGAAAAAGTTACCATTTGAGCAATTTTCACTAATAGATCTTTAGCACAAAATATTGTCTGGAAAAAATATGATGTAGGAAAGCATTCCTTATATTAAAAATTGTCAAATATACAATCACAAGGAACAAAAAAAAAAGTATGTAAATAGATAGAGATGGGCAGAGCGGTTCATGCCTGTAATCCCAATACTTTGGGAGGCTCAGGTGGGAGGATCGCCTGAGCTCAGGAGTTCGAGACCAGCCTGGGCAACAGAGTGAGACCCTGTCTCTACTAAAAATTTAAAAAGGTAGCCAGGTGTGGTGGCGTGTACCTGTAGTCCCAGCTACTCAGGAGGCTGAGGCTGCTAGGAGCCATGATCATGCCATTGCACTCCAGCCTGGGTGACAGAGCAAGACCTTGTCTCAAAAATAAATAGCCTGATAGAGGTTCTAGAAAGCGAAAAACAAATAGCCCGATAGAGGGTCTAGAAAGCGAACCTGATGCATGTTCTTGGTGCCCTCTCACTCGCCCCATTCTCTCTCTCTCCCCCTCCTCTTTTCTTTTGTAGTTAATGAAATTATCAGGAAGGAGTTTTCAGGACCTCCTGCCAGAAATCAGACGTAAAAGAAGCCATTATAGCAAGACACCTTCTGTATCTGACCCCTCGGAGCCCTCCACAGCCCCTCACCTTCTGTCTCCTTTCACGTTCATCTCCCAGCCTGGAGTCCACACGCGGATCAATGTATGGGCACTAAGCGGACTCTCGCTTAAGGAGCTCGCCACCTCCCTCTAAACACCAGAGAGAACTCTTCTTTTTGGTTTATGTTTTCAATCCCAGAGAGCATCCTGGTTGATCTTAATGGTGTTCCGTCCAAATATTAAGCGCCTGCTGACCAAAAGCACATTCTGCACAAGACAGGACACTGGAACGCGCCTGAGAACAGAGTGACTGGAGCTTGGGGGGATGGGCGGGGGACAGAAGATGTGGGCGCTGTGATTAAACCCCAGCCCTTGCGTTCATTTTTCCAGGTCACAGATACAGCTCCTGTACCTTTTGAAGGAAAGGAGTTCTCAGAGCAACCAAAGGAACGTGATCCAAGAGCCCAGCTTACAGGCTGAAGAAACCCAGAACCCTCTTGATAGAGGTAGAAACTGAACTGTCAGTCCTTAGAGCTCGCCCAGTCCATGCCACAACTGGGCCACGGCTAAAGCTTTATTTTTGAATTCTTATTCCAAAACCAAACTGTCTTGCCCGGACAAGATCACCTGTTAAGACTTCTTGGCGTTAAGTTATGACATGTATATGCGTTTGTTATTATTATTATTTTTTTTCTGCTTTAAAAAGCTGGCCAGGGCACCTAGCACTGGAGCTATTTTGGCGAGCTGTTCTTTAACCCCTGCAGCACGCAGTCCTGCTAACACAATTTCCATAGACTTGGGGGGCTGACCCAGGCTGCAGAGAGCAAGCACCTATCTGCTGCAGCTGTACAACCTGGATGCTTTGCAAGGTTCCGGCTTGCTTGCTTCCTAGCAGCCAGAGTGCATTTCGGTAAAGCAGTGGAGAATCTCAAGCATGTGCATTTAATTGAGGAATAGCAGAAGGGCTAAAGGAACCAAGAAAAGAAGTGCGGGTATTTTTGTTAAGTAAAACAGCCCAAGTGCTTCTGGAAGTGGGTGTCTACTTAGGATAGAGGCTGAATTCCCTCTATCCTAAATTCAAAGTGGGACAGTCGAGCTCAGGATGCACTTCCCAGCTTCACTGGTTAATTTGACCTGAACGTATTTAAAGACCCTTTCTGCCCCTGAAGACCTATTCGCACTAGAATTCTAACACGAAGAAGTCTACTCCAATGCCTCCTTTAGTTTGAATGAGCTCTGTTCAGACCAGTTGTATGTTACATATGATTTCCTTCCTCCCAACTGTTTCCACTGAGCGCACCCATAGTCTCCCCTAGTCTTCCTCTGTGGGTGCGATTTTTGTGATTTTTACAAACAAAACCCTTGTAGTTCTTGGCAGGTGTGTTTCTGTTGGCATTTGCTGCAGATACCCCAGGACGGGCAGGGGGATTCATTTTTAAGCCATTCAGTTGTTTCCTCAATAATCCACAACACAGTGAAAATATTCTTAGCACTCAGACTGGACTTACAGTGTTTTCTCAGTCCAGTCTGTAGGCAGAAGGCCTCAGAAGATAGTCGTGGCCACTCAGTGCCCACTGTGGGCTTTGTAAGTCCTGGCTCTGCCGTCAAGGTTACCCAGAGGCAAAAGCTTCCTGGGAGCGGGGCCAGGAGTGGTTGGCACTCCAGATAGAAGACAAAATGCTCAGATTCGGGCCTGTGCACTTGTATGCAACCTGTTGGTCAATGCCTAGCATTTATTTTTCCCTAACAATGGACAACCTTTCCCTCCCCCACCCCTAAGCTCAGAGTTTAGGAAAATTCTCTTTTAAATAAACAGAATGCCAGTAAGAGGTTGACCCCCACCGTAGAACTTCTGGGATGCTAAATACTTCCTCACGAACAAAATAAGTTCCTTATACTAGCAGCTTCACCTAGAGAATTCTGTCTCCGGCAATATGAATTTTTCTCTCCAGCAATATCAACTTCACTGGGGAAAAGCTAGGAGTGTGTGGTGAGTGATTTGTTCTCCCTTGACCTGGCTAGGAGCCATTTTTTATACATGAGGGAATTTGAGCTTTCCTCAGTTATCTGAATGTTTTACCCAAGTGCCTTCCTGCTATTGTAGCAAAGTAGCTCAGCTTCCTTGTCCACAGGGTGAAAAAGGACTAATGCATTTTCCATCAGTTTTCTAACTATGTTAGCAAAAAGGACCTCCTGGTAGCTCAACCTCCTGTATGCATGTGTGTGTGTAATACACACACAAATAAACCCCTCTGTTTTTCTAAGACATCTTAGCTGGATATTATAGGAAGCACTTTCATAAACAACTGTACCAAATAGCAAAGGAAAGAGAAACAAAAGCATTAGATTTGAGACATAAACAGGCAAGAGAAAGTGTATTAGGAACTGACAGCTATCAAGGAAGTTTTGTCAGTTACAAATGCTAGGAGGAAATTTTGCCAAGAAGGATGGCTCATGAAATATTTCCAGTATGGGAAGAGGCAATAAGATCCTCTAAGAGAATGAGAAAGTAGGGATGTATAATTGGTAAAGATGGGCGTGTTGCAGGTGTGTTAGAAGGATCTCAGTTAAGTGAAGGTTTGCACTTGCTACATCTAAGTTAATGTAAATATGTAGCACTCTGACAGGTCTACCATGTTGCTGAATGTAGTATATTTCCAAAGTTTGCAAGTCTTCCTGTATTGTAAAAAAATGCTGCTGCTTGATAATATGTATAGCAATCCAGATTAATTAGTATGTTATTAAATTTTATTTTCTTACCTGTATTTTTATGCTTTTTATCTGTCCTCAAAATATTACACCCCTGTTGGAATTAGATTTATATTTATAAATGGTCAGAAATCTTTTTAAATGTCTCTTTTTACACATAGGTTGATTTTTTTTCTTAAGATAAATGATGTATTCTTGAAACATTTGTTAATTATTCCAGGAAACAAAAAATCCATATAATAAAACTCCCACTCAGAGCCTCTTGGTCACCTACCTAGAAGACAGCATCTCAGGAGAAAGAATGGCTTCATGGAAGAAGGAACCACCTTTTTCTTGCTCAAGAATTATGCTGACTTCAGCCCTGAGCCTGGATCTGGTCACTGAGAATCATCAAGTGTCTAGATCCCCCCAAATAAGTAATCTAGTAGGTGGTTTTGATTTTAAAAAATTGACACCAAAACCCTGCCTGCATTGTAATGGAATTTGAAAAGAATTCATGTTCACAGAACCCTACGTTCAGGCTAATATTTACAGAGGGGACCAAAACTAAATCCTGGTAGATAACTCCTGTATGCTTTATCCAAAGGACATCCACAGTTTTCCAGCATAGACATAACCAAGGATGAATTGATTCCTTCAAAGAACTGGGAGGCACTGATATTGCATTTTTTGTTTACATCCAGTAGCCAGGACGCCTCAGTGAGCCAGTCTTGGGCAGAGGCTGTCACATTTAGGCAGATCAGGAGTTGATATGTTCTAATTCTCACTCTGGACTACGGTGAAACTGAATTTATCATGTCAAAAAAAAAAAAAAAAAACCTTTCCAAGTGCTTTCTATTGCTCAGAAATGAAAGAATGTTTTCGTTTCAAGTTTACAAGAGGCATGGATGGAGTTGTGACGTTCTTGACAAGCTGGGCTAACCTTTCCTGAACTCGTTTCCTGGAGGCAAGGTGCTCGGTGACCCAGCGCATCTTAACCTTGGGTCTCCTAGGCTCAAGGCTAGGGCATTACGTTTCATGGAACCAAAACAGCCAGTTGCATAGCAAGTATTTTCCTGCATTCCAATTAAATGCTTAAGAAAAAGCAGCATCATATAAAAATTGTGATCATAAACATCCATTTCCCTCAGCTTTTGTGAGTGCCTTGACTTACAGCCAACATCACTGTTTAACTCGGTCTGTTTAAAAACAAACTTTTCTGGTGGTTGGTAACAGAGAGTTTCTCCCTGAGCCATCAGGGTCCTGAGAGCTGGAAGTGAAAGGGTTAATTAACATTCTGCCTTTATGCAGCTGTTGGCTGACTAGAATAAACTCCCTGCTGAGTTCAAGCTTTGAATGGAATGGATGCAAATGATGTTGTTTCCATTAGAGCAGGTGCTCACAGCATTCTGATTGGCCTGAGCAGACCGAGGCTATGGCTGTTGGAACAAGCTTAGCATCCTGGACATCTTGTCAAAGAACCTCACTCACCCACTATGGCCTCTACAGCCCTCAGAGGAGAGAAAACCAGTACAGTTCTCCAACAAGCAGAGGTCTCTCCAACACGGTGGTGCTGGCAGGCTTAGGTTTAGACAATCCTGTTAAAGGCGTTTGAATACATCACATTCCTATGCAAATGTTTTTAATCTCCAGTTTAATGTAGTTTATTTTTCCTATATGTAAAGTATTTTTATACGACTTGTATCATGATAGTTTAGCAATAAAACAGTTGGAAGCAACAGCTACTTTGGTGGATCTTTCTTTTCCGGAGAGGCTACTCAAATATCCCCTTTACATTTTGGGCTCCCTCAGCAAGGAACATTTTGTGTGTGCACATACGTGTGTGCGTTTACTCCTCGTCTCAGCCCTGGGAGGTAGGTACGGTCACGCTGTGCTTGTGACTCAGGCTTAGAAGCCACTTGTCGGAGGTGACAAAGCCACATGGTCAACCTGAATTTGATTCTCTCCAGCACAGCTCTGCTGTAATCTGTGCCTGTAGACTACTTTTGAGGTAGCATATTCATAAAGGAGATTTATGATGCCCACCTTAGACCAGCTTTCCAAGGGTCCCGAAGCATTCAGTCAACTGGGCCAAGCCAGCCACTTGGAAGGCAAAAGCTACCATTTTTATTTGAGCATCTTGCAAAATATCAAGGTTAAAGAAAAAAAAAATGCACCTTATACCTTTGAATCCACCAACAAGTACTAGAACCTTCTAGCCAAGTTCCTCCTTAAAACAGCTTTTGCCATCCTGTAGCTAAAGCACCTAGGAGGTTTGGAAGTAGCTGCTCTTTTTAAAGTCTTCATAGGGTTCGAACCTCCTCCCACCCTTTCACCCCAGGGAAATGGGATATCTGCCCCAGGCCCTGTGCTTTAGGGACCCACGCCACCCCATCATAGCCCCGCACTTGGATTGTCTTGCTGGGAATTTTCTAGCCCCGCCCCCCTGCTATTCCAGTGCCTGTAACCAGCACTACCAAATGGGCAGGTGTCCCAGGCTCAGACAGGGACCTGCATGGGTCCTGGCTGCTGGAAGTACCTATCTTGAACTGTCCTTAGTCTCCCTCCATTAGCTGGGACCAGCTGGCTCCCATTTCTCCCCTTCAGATGCCCCAAAGAGCTGCAGAACCTGCACCTACAGGGTCCAGGTCAGCTTCCAGAGGAGCACCCTGGTGAGCAGATTGCTCTGATGGCTGGTGCAGTATTTTCATTGTGAGTTCTGTGGGATGGTGTGAGACTAGATCACCAGAATGGTGCTGATTTAGGAATGGCTCAAGTTGCTTAGGCAGACAGGAGCCCCACAAAAAACACCTGCCCAGGGCTACACCTAAGAGGCAACTGTGCCCCACTAAGACGATTGCGGCCAACTGTTTTGCTTTAACTCACTTTCCGAAAACCTTACACCACTTCTCCTGAATCGAAAGTCAAAATCACTTAAGCAGAGGACAAGGCTAAAACTATACAGTCATTTTTAAAAAAGAAAAAAAAAAAAAAGGTCTGTGTTGTACATTTATATTTAAGCCACGCTTAAACACAAATTTGGCCTGTGCCTCAGTTTCCCCAGATATAAAATGAGGACTCTAGTCCCCACCTCACAGGTACTGCATACTTAATCAATATTAGCTATCGATCGACTGTCCCATCATTTAACAAACAGATTTCAGATTCACCTAAGGCTTATCGTGGAGCCTTGAGCTCACCTTGAGACCTCATTTGACTAATATCTGGAAGGAAACATTTAGAGCTCTATGGGATTTTAATTTTTCTAAATAGATCATTAAAGCCAGAAACTTGAGTTTATCCAATTTTCAAAACCTGAGATGACAAGGAAGTTTGTATTGGAGCATCTTGGAGTCACTTTGCCAGGAGTTTGCAAATCTGAACATGTTCCTTGCTGTATCCAACAGCATGGTGTAGTTTCGTACAAAGGAGCAGAAACAGAACAGTAGTTTCGTGCCAAGTTGGAGTTTAAGAAGTGGTAAGATTGACAGGAGAAAACAAATGCTGACTCCTACTCAGCCTCTTCATGTTCATACATTAGAAGGAAACTGGGTTCCTGGTAGGACCAGGTTGAGTATAAAATAATGCTGAGGACAGAGGCACAGAGCCACAAGGGTCTTTACGAAATGAAAGTGAAGTCATTTCTTTTGTCTGCGGATCCCCAGTAGCTGTGATGGGGTATAAAGGACACGCTTGCTATAAACCTCATGACATTTTGTGGTACGAAGGTGGACGAGGTCAGACCAAACTTTCTCCAAAAAGGGCTTCTCACTCTAAACCACCTCTTGCCCTGCCCTCTTGGTAAAATTCAGAAGTTGAGCTTTGTAAATGGTCCGATGAGGAGTTATCAAAGAAACAAAACCCCCTGCTGTCTATCTGCCCTGTCCCAGGCTCTCTAGGAATCCCTGGATTTACTAAAAACTTCAAGCTCTGAAACACTGTGCTGGATAGGAAGTACAGTGACGATTCACTCTGATTCCCAGGGGCTATGCTTTTTACATCAGTGATCCCTAAATTTTTTGTTGAAATGGGGACACCTCATCCTTCTATGAAATACTGACAAAACTCCTTGAAAACACATTGCCAACAGTTTCTGCTGCTGTGCAAACTGCCAGAGGATATTTGATTTAGAACCCTCTGCCCTTAATACCACGAGAAAAAAGCATTCACAGGACAACTGTGGAGAGGGTTGTATTTACACCTTCACATACACACGCGCCAGACTCCCGTGTCACCTCCCCCACCATGTGCCTTCTTCTCTTTGGTAGGCAGGAGGCATTTTGAGTTCAACATGCCCCCAAATTTCCTGATTCCCAATCTCCTCTTCCTCCCTCTCCCAACACACACCCATCTTACTCATCAGTTTATGGCAACACCATCTATCTACAGTCGCTTAGTCAAAACCCTGGGAATAACCCCAGATCTCTCACTGTTCCCATTGCCCACATACCAGCAAATCCCGCTGGGTCCCTTCTGAAATCCTCCCACCTCTATGCCTCATGCTCACCAGAACACCCTCATCTACCTGGATGACACAACAGCCCTTCGCTGGTGTACTCCCGACCTCCCCATCCACACAGCAGCCAGATCGAGCTTAAAGCAGCCTCAGATCCTATCACAGCCCTATTTAAAGCCCTCCACGGCTTCCCTTTGCATTCAGGATGATCCAAATTCCAGGCAAGAGGCTCAGCCATCTTCCTTGGCCACAAGTTCTCCAGCCTCCAGGCCTCTTTTCTGTTCCTTGCCCAGACCACACCATTCCCCACCTCTCTCTCCTCCTAAAACTTGAACCGCTTTGACCTCTGAGTTTCATGGACTGGCTCTTCCTCATGCTTCAACTTTCCAATTAAATTCTTGTCCTCAGAGGACTTCAGTGACCACTGTCATGCGAGACCTACCCCATGCCCCGCCCCCACATGCACTCAGCCTGGCGTTTGGATGACTGTGGGCATGTTTGCTGTCTCTTGCCCCTGTAAATTCCATGGCGGCGACGATTGTCTTGATTTGCTCAATGCCATCTCTCTACAGCCTGGCATGCGGTATGGTAGGCCCCCAGGAACCGGGTGTGAAATGAGCAAACATGCCTTTCCTGTGCATGGAGAACAATGGGCTCATCTGGAATGCATGGAAAATTAATCATTTCCTAATATTTAACACATTTTATAAACCAAACAACTGACTCAAGGGAGACTTTCCTTCTGTCCCATATGGCTCGGTTTATTCATCTCTAATTACACAGCAGTGTATTCCAGCCTGTCTTCTAGAAAGAGCCAGTTCCCTTTGTTGCAGAAAGCCATAAAGACCATGATTCCCTAGAATCCTGGAGCCTGCCAGGCCAGTTATCTGCTTTCTGGCCGCCTGCAGTCACCTGTGGCCCTCCTGCTTGTAAAATGCTCACTGCTGTGGCTCAACAGCTCCTTGGGGACAGGTAAGAGAAGGGCCAGCCAGCCAGCTGCCGTTTACAAGCCAAATCTGAAACCGGCTTCTCGGGGGGAGTCTGTTTGACAAGGTGAATAATGGATTGTTTGCAGCGGAGCGAGGTGCGGCCAGCGCCTGCAGCTTGCTATGTTAGACGGTGCTAACGTGCTCCGGCTGGGCGCCTCTCCATCTGGTCCTCCCCAGATACACCTGCAGTCGTGCGGTTCAGGAGCCCACGTTCTCATTTATCCTCCCCGTGGTGCAAATAAGCCAGGGCACCCTCTGTGCGCTGTTGGGGTCTTCGACACAGACCTCGGCCCCTGAGCTGGGCTCCAGGATCTGAAGGTGTGAGGGCAGGCTTTCCTAAACTCTGCCCTGCGGACACCCCCGGTTCCTAAGACCAGCACTGCCCAGACTAGGTCCAGGGCTCCTCGGAGAGTCGGGCAGTGGGGGTCCCAGGTCCCATGACTTCCATCTCTCAGGGCTCACGGCCTCCCCTCCAGGATGAGTCGTTTTTTGCCATTTATTCCTGTTCATGTCACTCTCATCTCATCCCCTGCGTCTCTCACTCTGACCCCCATGAGGCTCAGACCCCACTTTCTGCCCCACAGGCCCATGAAATGCTGCTGCTCATCCCTCTGCACCTCACTGCCCACCATAAACCCCCACATCCTCAGTCTTCCTTCCCCCAGGGCCTGCGTGTTTTCTTCCTAGCTGAAACCCACCGCTCCTGAGTCCTGTCTCCTTGCAGGCCTCTGCGACAATTAGCACAAACTTAGTGGCGTAAAGCAACACAAATTCATCACCTCACAGTGCTAGAGGTCCAAGGTCCAAAGTAGGTCCCACGGGGCTAACATCCTGGTGTCAGCAGGGCTGCGCTCCTTCTGGGGGCTCCAGGGCAGAAGGTTTCCTCATCCTTTCCAGCTTCTTTGGAAATAAACATGGCTGACAGCATTCCGCAGCACTCAGCCCTCATCTGCTGGGCCAGCCATCCCATCACTCCGATTCCACGCCCAGCCTCACGCCTTTCTCTAACAAACTCTCACATCTCTTTCTTTTGCCTCTAAGGACTCCTGTGATTAAATGGGGCAAACCTGGGTAACCCAGGGCACTCTTCCTTTCTCACTGGTGATTAGCAATCGCACCTGCAAAATCGCTTTTGCTGTAGAAGGTAACACGTCCACAGGTGATGGGCATAGAACATGGACATCGTTAGGGGGCCCTTATCCTGCCTGCCAGGCTAATGTGGCAGTGTTCAGAGGTGGTGCCTTTAAGTGGTGACTCTGGGTCCTGAGGACTCTACCCTTGTGAATGGATGAATCC